TGTGTGTGTGTGTGTGTGTGTGTGTGTGTGTGTGTGTACCTGCACATGAAGAGCACCCGCTTGTCCTCGCCAGGGCAGAGGTTCTTGGCCTCCCTCATGTACGCCAGCCAATCGTCCAAGTCCAGAGTCTCCTTCCTGCACCTCAGGTGGTTCACAGGGTAGTCCTCCGTCGTCTGCGGAAGGTTATGGTTTAGGTTCATGTCGGAAATCTTCCATCAAGTTCACCCATGCATCACAGACTGACCGAACAATGAACTAAGAAAACACACAGGGGCAAACAGACAAACAGACAAACAGACAATCAGACAAAGACAAACATGTTGTCACGTACACCTTTACTAAACATGAGGAAGTAGAAAACAAACTAACTGTCACAGACAGTGAGAGAGTGGCCAAATAAACAAACACAGTCAATGACATCTGCTAAAAAACATGAGCAAGTAACTGCCAAATAAACAGTCACGTACACCTGCTGTAAACATAAGAAAGTAAAACATAAAATAAAAACTGTCAGTGACAACTTCTATAAACACGAGAAAGTAACTGCCAAATAAATAAACAGCCAATGACAACTTCTATAGACACGAGAAAGTGACAACCAAATTTTAAAAAACACCAAAAAAAGTCAATGACAACTTCTATAGCGACGAGAAAGTGACAACCAATTTTTAAAAAAGTCAATGACAACTTCTAAAAACACGAGAAAGTAACTACCAAATAAACCCCATAAAACAAAGTTATTGGACACCTTATATTTAGGAGAAAAGATGGCAAATCTCTAATCCCTCAGCTCCCTGTTCACCATCGTATTTGTAACACCCACTTAATATTTATATACATCTGAAGACTACAGGTGGGGGGGGGGGGGGGGGAGTGTAGTCTCACACTAAAAATCGAGAGGGTGTCAATTTTGAACGTCGTGGACATCTTTTATAGACACTAGAAAGTGACAGCCAATTTTTTAATTAATTTTTTTTCAAATTGTCAACGACAGCTAGATCTAGAGGGCGACCACGAAAGACCTAGATAGATGCAGTCAGGGAAACATTAACCACCCACGGCATCCCCCTGACCCAGGCTCTCCGGCTGGCGACAGAGAGACGTCTCTTTCTTCCCGCGACACCCAAAAGGGTATAAGCGGCGGATTTTTAAAAAAAATGTTTTTAAATAAATGTGAGACATCGTGGTGAGATCAGGCGCTCGTCAAAACAATGAAATCCGAGAAATCGGTTTTTTTTCGGCCAGTTTGGACATT